GGCAAAATATAGGAAGAACTTCCTTTGTCTATCCAGTGAATGAACTGGACCAGCCTGGCAGGCAGATGTTGCACTTCTGTGACAGAAATGAACACTTGGAGGGAAGGGCCACAGCTTTAGATGATGACATGAGTCCAGGAGCAGTAGATTAGGGTTCAGGCTAGTGTGGCTTTGGCTTAGGTGTTCATTGCTATAGGCGCCATTTTGTTTACTTATGTATGAAGAAAAAGACAAGTATCATAGCTGGCCACTCAGGGACCTGCCATCTGTGTACTACCACTCAGCATCTGGACAGAATGTCACCTGGTTCCCAGAAATCCCCTTAGGCCCCTCCTTCTGCAAAGGAAACCACTCCCTGGTAATCTCCATCTTACTGATTCTCTGTCTGTTTCTGAACGCTGCTGGAGAGGGCCATGCAGTAAGTTCCTGAGAGGCTGGCTTCCTGTGCTCACACACGTTTGGGGAACAGCTCCCTGGTGAGGTGAGTGGTTGTAGCCCAGGCCATGGCCACTGTTTCCCTCTTCCAGTCCACATTGTGCACGGCTCCTCCTCCACTCGCATGTGATTGTGCAAGCACAAGTGGATGCCAGGCTGCACGATGGCCATGGGCTTGCAGATACAGGCAAGATGCGGTACAAGGGGCAGGAAAGATTCCACAAACTGCTGAGCTCAAATCCTAGTTCCTCCTGCCTGGGGAGCCTACACTCACATTCAAGATAACTCCCACCCAGCAGTGGTGGCCCACACCTTTAATCTTAGCTCCCGGGAGGCAGAGGCAAGTGGATCTCTGAGATCAAGGCTAGCCTGGTCTACTGAGTGAGTTCCGGGACAGCCAGTTCTACACAGAGAAACCCTGATTCCCATCAGGGATGAAGGAGCCAGTGGTCTGACAGGTGTCTGTAGCCCTGAAGATGCAGGCCATGCCAGACACCACATAGCATTTCCCAGAGGAGCAGGCAGAGCGAGGCTTCTGCATCCTGTGCTGCCCTGGACACATTGGAAAAGGCAGCTCACGCCTTTGGCCAGATGCCTGGCAGCCTTTTAGGGCAGTTCATCCTCAGCAGGGCCTGGTTCCCTTCTGAGGAAGTGAAGACAGAGCACTGGGGGGTGGAGGCGGTATACTGGTCTGTGCCTTTGTCCTAACATCCCAGAGCATGCACTCTGCCTTCCCGGATGCTCCTGCAGGGGTGCAGGGTGCCCAGTCCCTGAGAACTGCCCGACAGCAGCAGTCTGGAAGCAAAGTACCCGAGTCCTCTACTCTAGGTTTAGAGAACATTGTTTCCTAATTTCTAGTGCTTTGGGCGCCTCTGTGTGATGGTCCAGTGTCCTGGTCTTACAGAGGCCTCTTGGAGGTGGGCGGGACAGAGACCAATACTGGCCTGGCCTGGCTTGGTCTGGCCTGAGCTGGAACCTATTGCCTTATATGACATCTGCTGGGAGGGCCCTAGTGACTTCTGCATCTTTCTTTGCTTGCCTGGTTTGAGTTCTGAGAAAGCTTTGCCTGGTGGGGTTAGGCAATTTCTGTGGAAAAAAGAGCCCACAGTCTGGGCAGGGCTCTCTGCTTGCCCCCTGCACAGCTGGGGTGGTACATTGGGTGGGTCCCCTCTGCCTTTTCCCTTTATAAACTCTGCATCTGTCAAATTAAAAAGGGGCCCCCTGTCCCTGTTTCTCAGTGGGACTGGGAATTCAAGAAGCGTCAGGAAGGCTGTGAGCAGCAGACAGACAGTGCCAGCATGGGGGGCTGCTCTTAGACTGGGTTCCTCACATCTGCTCACCCCCTCAATGCTGCCTGCTATTTGGGGTTTTTGTTGTTGTTTGCTTTTCTAGATTGCAGCTCTAGTGTGACCCCACCCCCACCCCACACACTCACCTACCTCTTCCCTTCTGGATCCACCCCGTACTGCTGGGAGGGAGGCCTGCCAGCCCTGGCCCTCACCCTGGCCAGGCCCTCCCCACCCTCTGTGGGCCTTGGTGTGGGGGGGATTAATGAAGCCCAGATGCAGGACTCCTGACTGTGGCAGTAAGTTTTGTAGCACAGCAGCGGCAGCTTGGAGGAGCCATTTACCTCCCACTGTGTGAGCCCAGCTGCTGCCGGATCCTAGATCCCAGGAACAGCTGGAAAACAGGTCCTAGCTACAGGCAGGCCACAGAGGGTCTAGTACATGAGGAGGAGGAAGCTGGGGTTCAGGCAGGGCCTAGAGTGGGGGCCACGGAGGAGCAGAGATAGGGGCTTCTGACTCGCATTCTATGGCTCAGCTCAGATGCCTGACCTCATCTCTGCAGAACTCCTCTAGCTCTCAGAGTCCCGGGAAGCTCTGGGAGCCCCCAGCACACCCCTGTAGGAAGAGATCAAGGCTAAACCCAGGCAGAAATCTGTCTTCCCAGTAAAAAATGGGGGAATGGTTGGTTTTCCCTTCATTTGCCAGATGCAGTACAAATACAATACATAACGCATCCCTTTATAAAGAAAGAAAAACAGATTCTTTATCTGAAATTTGTCTTTAACAGGGCGTCCTGTATTTTAATTTGCTAAATCTGAAAAACCTAAGTCCTCTACCAGCTGAGCCTCTTTTCAATATGATAGCCTCATTGAACAAACAGAACATTGAGCATATGTCTCAGTAGAGTTTTCCCAAGTCAGACACGTGAAACTAACACCCAGACTGGAAAGCACAACTTGAGCACACCCAGGGTCAACAGCATCCCTACGCCCAGCAGTGCATTTGGGACTTGATGTACCTGAGTTCTCACCCTGACTGTCTTTTGTAGTTGTCATCTTCCCCACAGTAGAGTGACCAGACCTGGAGGTAGTTGTGTGTCTACAATTCCGTTTATCAGGGCTTCTCCTGTGAGTACCTCTCTCTTTTGTACCTGTGTACAGGGAAGCAGGACTGGCCTTCAGAATCACGGGGAATTAGTTTAGTTTTCCTTCCTGTCAGCTCTGTGAGCACCCGCCGTGGTCCTTCACCCCCCAGAGTGGCCATTTGTCCTTTCCACCATAACCCTTCAGATGTGCGCCGGCACCACCTGCTGCTCTTCTAGTAAATCAGGAGCCCCTGTGTTGTTGATTCTTGGGATTTTTTTTTTTACTGTTATTAAGAAAAAACAACATAGTCTGCAAAACTCAGGCCCTGCATCTGAGTCCGTTCTCCTCAGCTTGGTGGAGGCCCGCTTCAGCACTCCGTCACTGAGGCAAGTGTGGCTCTGGGAACCTTGCTCTGGAGCCTTCAGTCCCAACTGGAGTGATCAGGGTTAGTCCTGTCTCTGGAAGTCCTCCTTAAGGAATCATTTCCTAGCACCTGCTGCACATCTGGTCTTTCTGCTCCTAGGCACTTGTCAGAGGTCCTGCAACAGTACTGTTTCCTGCCCGCATTTCTCCTCATTTGCCATCATGCCTGACGTCTAGCCCTTTATTTGCTTTCCTTCCTCTCATCATTTTTCTCCCTGGCATGGTTGGAGACAATAGCATCTGAAGTTCTCTGGTGCACCATTCTGAATGGGTTACGTAGCACTGTGTGGTGCCAGGTCCCTCCAGAAGAGATAAGAATGAAACTCTGGTTGGGCAGTGGTGGCGCTCACCTTTAATCCCAGCACTCAGGAGACAGAGGCAGGTGAATCACTGTGAGTTTGAGGACAGCCTGGTCTACAGAGTGAGTTCCAGACAGCCAGGTCTACACAGAGAAACTCTGTCTCAAAAAAGGAACAAACAAAAAAAGAATGAAACTTTGTGGCATGACACTCGCCTGGCCTGCATAAGGCTCTGGGCTCCATCCTTGTCAAAATAAATGAATGAATAAGTAATTCCATTCAAGGGCTGACTGCTGCCTGAAAACCAGTGTGTAGATACATGGAATGACATGTTACAATCTCCTCAGCAAAGCTCAGGTGATTGATTAGAGTTGTGGCTTGAGAGTTTGACCTGAGGAGGAGTTTGTCCTGTCACCTAGTCTCAGAGATCCTGGAGGCAATTCTCAGTCCCACCCTCTGATCTCTTCCTTCCTCTCTTTATGCTCCCAAATGCCTAAGGACCCAAGCATTAACATCTGAAGCCCCACCGGGGCCTTCATTGCGGACAAGAAGATGGCTCAGTCCTGAGTGAGCATTGACTAAGCATAGCCTTCTGGCTGACTCTCAGCTCCGCTGACTGAAGCAGGAAGGAGGCCCATGCTGGCTCACGAGCAGCTCAGGGAGCAAATGCTCTAGAAACTGGGGCTGGTGGCTTCAGGCACAGCTGGCTTTGGACATTCCTGGGGCTCTGTCTCCCTTGTTCTCTTTACTGGCCCCCATGAAGTCTGTCCCACTGGGAGACGGGGACAGCCAGCACTATAAGGTTATCACCTGTCACATTAGCTACCCCACGGGGAAGCTATCCTCTCTTAACTGTCCAACTACAAGATCCAAAGACTGCTTCAGTGGTTGAGTCACTCACAGGTGCCTGGATCAGGTCAGGATGGTAGGAGGGGAATCCCAAAGGAAAGTTAGTTCTCTGAATAGTGGGTGAAGAAAAAAAAAGCTAATCACCTGCCCTGCTTGAATTTCTTTGAAATCTGAGAATCAGTGCACTGGGCATGACAAAGAGAACAGAGAAGGGAATGTGTTTTTCTTCCGGTTGCCCTTTCCCCTCTATCTGCATATTTTCCTCCTTAGTTGTTTTATCCCCTCCATCAATACATTTTCCTTCTTAGATTATTGCTTTGTTTATGGTTCAATCCCCAGGGTCTCCTGCATGCTCTGCTCTGCCACTTTGAGCCACACCTGGTTTTGTCTCTGTACATATATGTTACGCAAAGGTAGGAATGTTGGTTCATTTTTGAGTAGACCTTTCACCCACACAGATCTACAGATAATCTACAGATCCATACAGAGCTGAGAGGGTCACAGCTCCAAAGGAAAATGTACTATCCTCGCTTGGCAGATGTCTTGTCTTTTCTATGCTTACTCGGTCAGAGACCCCCTGACCTCCAGCCCACCCCACTCAGACCCTTGCTCTTCTCCCCCAGGCAGCTTCGAAGCCAACTGAGTCTCACAGTTATTGCCCGAATGCTGGGTCAGCAAGAGGCACTTCCTCTCTGGGAATCGAAAAGCCAGGTGAGTCTGCCTCAGCAGGACCAGGAAGGCCTCTGGTGGGCCATGACCCCTCTCCCCATTACCTGCTTACACATGAGGTATAATCAAAGCATCCATCCCCAGACCTAAGCTGGATTTGAATGCTTCACTCAGTTACTGGGACCAGAGGCATAGTTGAGTGGTAGAGCCCTTGCCTAGCCTTTGTGAGGCCCTGGGCTCTGTTAGCATGTCAAGAAAACAGTGGTATGAACCTGTGCTCCCAGCTACAGGGGAGGCTAAGACAGGAAGATCACTTGAGCCTAGGACTTAAGAGACCAACCTGGGCTTACATTCCACCATGGTCAAAAATAGTAGGTTTTTGGCAGGGCACTCAGGAGGCAGAGGCAGGTGGATCTCTGTGAGTTTGAGACCAGCTTGGCCTACAAGAGCTAGTTCCAGGACAGCCTCCAAAGCCACAGAGAAACCCTGTCTTGAAAAAAACCAAAAATAGAGCCGGGCGTTGGTGGCGCACGCCTTTAACCCCAGTACTCGGGAGGCAGAGGCAGGTGGATCTCTGTGAGTTCGAGGCCAGGCTGGATCGACAGCCTCCAAAACAGAGAAACCCTATCTCGTAAAACCAAAAAAAAAAAAAAAAAGAAAAAAAGAAAAAATAAATAAATAAGAGTGCTTGTTGTTCTTGTAGAGGAACGGACTTCCCAAACCCTGGTTCTGCTGCAGAAAAACAAAGGTGGAAAGAAATACCCTAAAGCTGCTCTGATCAGGGCCTCCTATTCCAGGGTTAGGCGGGGCCGCAGGGCTGAGTCCTGGCTTCCTCCTCACTCCTCTCTGACGGATCTCTGACACTGTTAGCTTGGAAGCCATGGCCTCCTTCAGCTCCAAGGATAAGATGGGGAAGTTGAAAGCTTCTTGCTTCCACTAGGGAATCTCCCTGGAATTCTTGTAGTTTCAGGGTCTCCCTGAATGCCTAGCTCAACAACACTTAAGAGGCCAGGTACACAGGCAAAGGCACACCCAATACATCCCCAAGCCAGCTAGCTCAAAAGCCAAATGCAAGATTTTGAGAGGGAGCTACGTAAGAAAAATGTCAGTTGGTTTGGTTGGAAGGAGGGGTTGGGCCTGACTCTTGCTTCAGCTCCCTCTCGTCCTCTGCCTTTGCCCTAGCATGGAAAGGGGGCTTAGTATGGCAGGGGCTTGTCATTCCCTCTCCGGCTGGCACACCAAGGAGGCCCCCATCTGTCACCCTCCCTTACTTGTTGAGTGTCTGTGTTGTGTTCCCCACACTCATGTTCTGGGGGCCCCGAGAGTGGGGAATCAGTGGTGTCTGCTTGCTGCCCATTGACCCTCAGCCCAGGACTGGCCCATGCCAGGTAGGCAATGTAATGCTTGTGGGATACAGAGACATCCAGGTGAGTGTCAGGGTCCCCAAGGTGAGAATGCTGTAAAAGCCACCATTGGGAGAGGATGACTCAGTCACTGAAGAAGGGAGAGCAGGTCAGGAAGTTAGGAGCAGCTGAAATTCAGCCAGGTTGCCCAAGGCTGCATGACAGCCTGCTATGGGGGCCTTGGTTTTGCCAGAGGGGTTCGCTAAGCCCCCATAGAGAACTGACAAAGAAGAAAAGTCAGGACTCCAGGAAGAGTAGGCCCCTGATGTCTCTTGCCCAGAATCTGTGTTAGCAGTGACCCAAAGGTGAGGTCATTTCAAGGCTGAGGGGTCTTCTTGGCCTGAGACTGCTGGGGGGGTCCAGTAGGGCTGCCTAGTCCTGAAGAGGAGCCACGAGGAGGAGGAGGCACATTGTGTATGCTGCTTGGTTAATGAGGGAGTTAGCTCGGGAGGTCTCTCAACAAGCAAGGATCCAGGATCCCAAGGCCAGTCAGGCAAGTGGAGCCGGACTGTGCTTTCTGACTCCAGGTCCTTTCCTTACTCCTGCCTGCTCTGACCACTGCAAACCCAGCTGTGTGCCTGTCTGCTCCTCTGACACTTGATTAGGCAACTCAGATCCCAAGCTCAGCCTCAGACACCAGGTGTGACACTACCAGATGACTCCTGAAGAGGGGTGAGCCAGCTAGCTGTGACCTGGGTGACTAACACTGCCTGAGGATAGGCTTCTGAGAAGGTACCTGAGCCAGGGCTCGAAGGATGAGTCCATGCTTGCTGGGTGTAGTCAGGAGGAGAAACAGCCAGAGTCAGCTGTGGCTCTGGAGAGAGGGAGAGAGGGAGAGAGGAAGGCTCAGCAGGTGTGTTTAGATGCTCTGCTGCTGGTCTCTTCCTGGTGTCTGGTCACCAGGCACTCTCTTTCCTAGTCTGACCTGTCAGACTCCTTAGACTTGCCTTCAAAGGATCACTTGTCCTCGCAGCCGCCGAGCACCTCCACACAGCCATCCCTGCCCTTACCCTCTCTTGGCCTCACCCCCCGAATGCAACAGCTCTGGTTGTGCACCGGCCCTCCTTCCACCTATAACAACTGCCTCTACCAGGCAGGCAGCACTGTGTTCCGCAAGTACTGTTCCTCATTCTTCCCTCCCTCAAAGCCTTGGGCTGGAAGAGCTGCTACTCTATCCATGGTTTATAGATGGGGAGACTGAGTCAGGGAAGGGGGGAGCCAGGATTAGGATTTGGCCATTGGCCACTGCAGCATGCCCCCTCAACCTCTCCAGCCCCTTACCTGGCTCCCAGCAGCCTATACCATTTGAAGGAGCTTCTGGGTTGACTGTCAGAGAAGAGAGTCCTGGGGTTTAACGTGGGTGGGAGGGGTTCTCAGGACCCAAGCTGCCCACCCTGCCTCTTACTCTGTGCCTGCCTCAAGCCACAGCAGGAGCCCCGCCCCGGGAGCACTACAGTTGGAGAACTGGCCTTGGGAGACTGCAAGTCGGCAGAATGCAACAATCCAGCACTTGCGTTTTCATGGAGAGTCCCAGGGTTGGACCAGTAATTCTTGTTGTTTCATTGACTACTGGGAAAACTTCAGAAACAGTCGCTGCTTGGTCTCAGGCTCCAGTGTGACCTGGAGTCTGGTCTGGGCAGGAAAGAGCTGAATTGGATGAAGTTCCTCTTCTGTGATAGGATTAGTCGAGCAGGTCAAAAGAGGCACGAGAAAGAAGGAACGTGGGGTAGGTAAGCGTCCAGAGAATGACAAGTGCTGTGGAGAAAAGGGAAACGTATAGCCGGGCGCTGGTGGCGCACGCCTTTAATCCCAGCACTCGGGAGGCAGAGGCAGGTGGATCTTTGTGAGTTCGAGGCCAGGCTGGATCGACAGCCTCCAAAACAATACAGAGAAACCCTGTCTCGAAAATGAGACAAACAAAAACAAAATTAAAAAAATAATAAATGGGGGGGCTGGAGAGATGGTTCAGAGGTTAACAGCACTGCCTGCTCTTCCAGACGACCTGAGTTCAATTCTCAGCAACCATATGATGGCTCACAACCATCTGTAATGAGATCTGGTGTCCCCTTCTGGCCTGCAGGGACACATGCAGGCAGAACACTGTATTAGTAATAAATAAATCTTTAAAAAAAATGAAAGAAGAACAGAAAAAGCAGCATTGGATGGGTAAGGTTTTGTAAAGGTGAAGAGAGGGACATTTGAGCTCAGGTATAGGAGGCAAGGTTTCCTGGGGGGGGGGGGGAGGGGTGTTGTGTGTGGTCACTTCCAGTAGAGGAAATAGCATGAACAAAGGCCCAGGGGCTGAGTAAAGGACACTTAGGTTGGAGGGAAAGCAAAGAGGCTGGTGTGGCTAGAGCAGAGGGCTGAGGTAGACTAGCAGAGACTGCGGTCAGAGAGGCTAAGAGAAGGTTCCATCGGCCAGAGCCATAAGGCCATGGTGAAGCCACGGGCTTTCAGGCCCAGAGTAGAGACAGAAACTGAGGTGAAAACATTTTCAACAGTTAGCTGCTGTGTTGAGACTAAAGTGTTGGGGGATGGAGCCTGTCATTCTGCAGGGCAGTTGGCCTGAGGTGATAGCAGCAGAGGTAGGTTGTGGCAGATGCTGGGTCGCTTCCCGAGGACAGTCAGCAGGGCTAGAGCAAGCAGGAGCCCTCCAGGAATCAGACATCATGCAAGATGTAGGTGGGACAGGGTGGGAGGAAACCCAGAGGGTTTTTTTTTCTTTTTTCTTTTTTTCCGAGACAGGGTTTTCTCTGTATTTTTTTGGAGGCAGTCCCAGAACTTGCCCTGTAGACCAGAGATCCGCCTACCTCTGCCTCCCGAGTGCTGGAATTAAAGGCGTGCACCACCAACACCAGGCCCAGAGTTTATTTCTTATACCAACCTCTTGCAACATAGAAACAAAGCAAAGCATTCTTCAAATATGTGTGTTTTATTGTGTGTGCGCACACCACAGTGTCCATGTGGAGGTCAGAGGACAGCTTGCAGGAGTCCGTTCTCCTGTTTTCTCCTTCCTAGGTAATCAGGCTTGGCAGCAAGTACCTTACCCTCTGAGCCATCCTATCAACTCATTGTTTGGAGATTTCCTATGAAGCCAGTTGGCCTTGAACTTAAGATCTTCCTGCCTCTGCTTCACAAGCCCTAAGTTTACAAGCATGTACCATCATGTCTGGCAAGAAGTCACTTTGCTCAAAAGTCTTTTTTTGAGACAAGATTTCTCAATGTAGTCCTGGCTGTCCTGGAACTTGCTATGTAGACCAAGCTGGCCTCAAACACAGAAATCCTCTCTCCCTCTGCCTCCCAAATGCTGAAATTAAAGGCATAACCCACCACATTCAGCCTCAAATCATGTCTTGAAATTTGGAAAGCAAAGACTTTGAGTGCCCCAAATTAAGGAGGAATAGGAAAGTTTGACTCTCCTGGGAAATGGTTAACTAACTAAAGTCCTAATGCTAGTTAGCCATTTGTTTGCCTAACAAGTACTTAATAAGCACGAGCCATGTGCCAGGCATGGTCCTTGGCTGCGTGGTCCCTGCAGGAGACAACGTTGAGCTCATGGCCAGGGAGAGGGCTGATAATAGTACACTAAGCAAGCGAGTTCTGTGCCTGGGATAAGGTAAATGATGCAATAGGATAGGGACCAGCAAGGGTGGTAAGAAAGTGCTGTAGGCTGCGGGTTAGATGTGACAGTGACTCCCATAAGGAGGGGGCAGCTCTGCAATGTGTCTGTTCAGCCGACATATGAGGGCCGAGACTCCTGAGAGCAGTAGCAGCAAGTCATTTGGGACCTACTAGTACCTTACAGCCACCTCTCCTGTGCAAATTGGAGCCACTGCCAGGATTTGAGAGCAAGAGACACATGCTGTGTAGACAGTTGCTTTGCCAGGATCTTTTCCTGCCAGGAGACTGGCAAGGCCAGTGGAGGCCTGTCCTTCTGGGTGATCATCACTTCTTGCCCTGAGGTGTCTGTCCTAATGGGTTGAGTGTTTGCTGAGTTGGCACTCTTCTGTGGAGGTAGGGGGTAGGGGTGGAGAGGGTGTCGTCTGGTCCTGACCCTCCCCATACAAGACCTTTATGAACCAGAGAAGCCTTCATCCAGTAGAGGGTGGCATGTGGGGGCGGGGCGATGCGGAAACAAAAGAGAATCTGAGACCAAAAAGCAAGACTGTACTGAGGCACCGCCAGTGCTTTCTGGAGCAAAAGGAAAAACACAAGAGTGAGCAAGTGAGCTTGGTCTGTGCTTTCCCTACCAGCCCTGCCCCCAGCTCCTAGAACTGGGAGGGTCCGGGCTCTGCTAAGGCGAACCTTCAGTCACACTGGGGGCGTAGTCTTGGAGGCAGGGCGGGGCAGTCCAGTGCTTGCACAGCTGTGAGCTTTGAGCGGTGAGCTTTCAGCGTGCGAAAGGGCAGGGCTGTTTTGAAAATTAGCTCGAAGGCTGGCGCGAGGCAATGGCGCTCTCGGTGCAGCCCCAGACGGAACCTATCTCTATCCAGGTCCTTCCTCCCCGTTTTCGCTGCCTTCTTTCCACATTCTAGGAGCCAGAGCCAGCCTGACTCCTAGCTCCTCATCCTCCTCTCCCTGCCCAGCTGCTTCTCTCCAGGGCTTCTAACGTTAGGGCAGCTGAAGTGCTGAGCAGGTGCTGGTGGGTGAGTCACAGGAGGAAGCCAGGTGTGGTGTGCCACCCGGCTGGGCTCAGGCTGGGAGCTGGGCTCGGGGCTCGCCCTCTTGCCTGTGGCCACACTGCACCTGCTAGATGTAAGGAGTCGGGCCTCTTGAACTACCCTGACACTGCCTCTTCTTCTGAATCCTCTCCCATCCCTAGGGTTGCACATGGATGACTTGAAGAGACTAGAACTGGGGCCTGACTATCTGGACCCAGCCATACCCCAGCACCAGGGCAGTCCTTGCTGGGACCCTATCTAGACTGCTCAAGCCCATGTTTGAGGTGACCAGAGAGAGGGGCTAGCTTCAGGACACAGGCAGGTTGCATCCCTCCCAGGGGGTTCACAGCCTGTTTTGTTCAGAGGGGATGGGCACCCGGTAGATTGACACATCAACCAAATCGCTGTGTAGACCTTGCAGGGGAACTCCCAGCTAAACAGACCAACTGAAAGGGTGTTCCTGAGATTGAGAAAACTGCGGATAGCTAAGGGATGAGCATGAATTATTGGTTATTTTGTTGGACAAGAAAATAGTATGGCTTTTTAGGAAAAGGGAAAAGAGGGCTGGGCAAGGCACACATCCCAGTACTCAGGAGGCACAGGTAAGAAGATTGCTGCAAGTCTGAGGCTAGCGTCGTCTGCAGGGGAAGTGCCAGGCCGTGGGAGCACCGCAGGCGGGACCCTATCAAGAGAGAAAAAAGAAAGTGTGCTGCTGAAATGACCCGAGTTCAATCCTCAGACCCCACTCTGTTGAAAGAAAGAACTGACTCCTGCAAATTATCTTCTACCATCTGGGTGTTTGCTATGGCTTGTTTGCCCCCCCACACACAAATGACATGTAATACATGTAATGACATGTAATACAAAAATGCTTGCATCCCATCACTTAGGAAGAGTTGGGAAGGCCACAAGGTTTCGATCAGCAGTGTTATTGGTATTATTGGATGCTATTATAACTTGGAACTTCTCTGTGGTTTAGAAGACTCGGTATTTGGAATTCCTGGGAGGGAAGAGTGTGGTACGGATGCAGAGAAGTTAGGAACAGGCAGGCAGGGCAGTTGTGGTCATGGTTCATAAGACGGATGGTAAAGCTGAGGACATATTCTGTCCTCTTCCTGTGGGCTGACCATGTCACAGCAACACGCTAAGTGACGAGAGGGGTGTGGGAGAGACTATGCCACTGACTAGAGGACTACTCAGGTGGCTGAGGGAATCTCTTTCTTATTCCTGCTTTTCCAAGGAGTTTGGGTAAACCCATAAGCCTCAGGACAGTTTCCTAATTTATCAAGTTAAGGAAGGGCTCACCCTGTGCTAGGTAAGAGTGTGTGTGTGTGTGTGTGTGTGTGTGTGTGTTTCGAGCACATGCCTGTGTACGCCCATGTGCATACATACATGCCCATATACATGTCCTCCTCTTAGGAAGAAGGGGTGTGAGCCATTTTAGGGAGGTCACGCCGCTCATAAGGGAGAGGTGGATTTAGGTTCTGGAAGCTGGGGTTGTGACCCTCTGCACCAGTTGAAGGTGTCTCCCAGAGCATTGTGTCCGCTCAGTCACTCAGTCACAGTCTCCTTTCTCCTCTCCAGCTAGCCTTGCTCAGCCAGCTGCTCAGCCTCATGAGGCCATCATCCCTCAGGCAGTGTCTGGGTGTTGAGACCTTGCCATCCTGTCAGGGGCAAGAGCCAAAGGCCAATGCTGAGATAGACCACAAGGTAAGTTCCTCAGCCCCTGCCTGCCCTCACCAAGAAGACCCTGCTACCCCATTTCACGGGGAAGGTGGGGCTGTCCCCATTGCACAGCCTGAGGGGCCTGTGGCTGCTAGTCCTTCCAGAACCGCAAGCCACTGTAGGACAGAGGCCAGGAGGCTGCTGCTGTGTGTGTGTGGGGAGGAGGTGCTTAGTATCCCTCCCAAGCCTGTAATTAGCACCCTTGCCCCCCCTTTCCACCCCCCGCATGTAAGTGCAGGTGAAGCTGTGGGCACAGGCATACCAACAGAGCTATGCCCAGTTTCCCTGTTTATTCCCACTAATTTTAACCCAGGCTTAGCCCTTGACCTTTCTCCAGTTCTTCCAAGTAAGTTCTTCCGAGGTTTGACCAGCTTTCCTGAAAGCCAGCCTTTGGCGAGAGTCAAAGGCAATGAAGTACCCCGGTTTGGGAGGTTAGGGTTAGGAATAGCAGAGGCCTGTACATCCCTGGGGTTAAGAACCAAGGTGGGTGTGGGGGCTTCCAAGTGGATCTCCAGGGGCCCTGCTATCCCTAGAGACCCCGGGTGAAGAATGGAGATAGGGATCTTCTAATTCAGGAAGGCAGGGATTCAAAACTCTGGTTCCTGAGGTTGAGTATTAACAACCAGAAGTCCAACCTCTGGGCATCACTCTGAAAATCAGATAAGTGAATTAATGACTTAATGAACACAAATGAACCATTAAGAAGATAGGATAATCCCCAGGTGCACAGGTGCACACTCCCCTTCAGAACATGCAGGGAAGGTGGCTTTCGCCCTGGGATTTGTATTCGTGCTTTTACAAGGCTCCAGGCTCCCAGGAAGGCAGGGGCCATCTGCACATCCCTTTTCCTTTCCGAAGTATTTCCCAGGAAACAGGAGTGGATGACACAGACGGGGGAAGAATCTGGAAAGGAACTGTAGTCAGTCCCTGGGTGGGTAGTCTGTCATGGCTGCATACTAGAGGCCCGGGATGACAAAAGGAGTATGAGCAAAAGGAAGAAGAGGCTGACGTCTGGGCTGGAAACTGTATGGCCTCCAGGAACCTTCCCAGCAGCAGCAGGGGTGTGGCCTCACCCAGGCCCCCAGCTTCCCCTGGCTCACCACATTTCTGACCTACTGGTAGCAGGGCGGAAGGTGTCTGTGTAGCAGTCATGGGATGAGAGGGTGAGAAGGCTGAGGGATCCTTTTTTTGAAGGGTCCAAGCACAGCTACCCCCTCCCCCTTGGTTGCCTGTTAGAGACAGTTCTGCCCTAAAGCTGGAGGAAAGAGCAGTGCATCAAGGTGCTTACTGCCCCCAGAGCAAAGAGTACACTGGTTGGGGACAACAGTAGGGGCAGGTGGGGCTGGGGTGGCTCTCAGAACCCCTGTGCTGCAGCCTCTGGGCTCCCCTTCACCTTGACCTCTGGTGGTGAAGTAGCTAAGAGCAAAGGCAATCGGGGGTCAGAGGGCAGGACGGGAGGGAGTGAACTGGTGGAGTGCCATGATAGAGAGAAGTGTGAAATGATTTCAGTTCTGTGCCCTGGACTGGGTGCTGTGGTGGCTGGGAGGGGCTGGGCCAGGCAGGCGACTGGGTCCCACTCCACCTCAGCCAACTGACTCCTCATTAGGCCTGAGCATGTCTCATCTTCAAAGATGAGATGAGGCTACTCACCAGCCAAAATGAGCAGCGGCGTCATCCGCCCTATTTTACAGGGAGTGGTGGTCTGGGATGGGGCCGCCTTTCATCCCCAGAGCTCAAAGTCTTTGCCTTTTTGCTTCTTGAGTGCAGTGGGGAAACTGAGGCCAGAGCTCAGGTCAGTTGGAGGTGATCATGCATGGAGGAGACAGCTTCTTCCCAGCCTTTGAGGCTGCCCTGCTGAGCTCCTGCCTGTCCCACGCTAAATACACTCATGTCTGGGAGATTTCCTGCCCTAAACTGCGGGGGTCAGAGCCCTCCTCCAACCCTGCAAATAAACACTTCTGCAGGCTCTTCTCCTGGTCTTCCCACCTCCTCCTCCCCCCAGGGAGGGCACAGCGTGGCTCCACTGTTGTTCCTTTGCACGGCTGTCTGTCTCACCGTGCTGTGGATCTCAGCATTGCATGTTTTTGCCACTAAGTGATAAACTGAACAAATGAATTGGATTTCATCCTTCTCCTCCTGTCTACTCCGTTGTGGCTGTCGGCTCTCCTGCCCCCATTTTTGAAACCGCCCTCCCTCTGCTCTGCCTTTGACCAGTGGCAGCCCTCTGGCCCCTTAATATCCTTGTATCATTAAGACCACAAGCATTTATGGAACCCTGGACTTCAGAAGTATTACCTTGGGTAATGAGAGAACCAATCACAGGGCATTGTTGGTAATTACCAGTTAGTGAGGTTCCTGCCTGGGAAAGCTAACCACCAAGTACTTTAACAAAAGAAGCAACTGCTCAGGCTTCCAGCCTGTGGGGGCAGGGAGGAGGAGAGAGCAGGACTGAAGGCAGGAGCAGACTGGGTTCCCAAGAAACCTGTTTGTCCTAGCAGGGTCAAAGTCACTTACCATGCTATTAGCACATACAAAATATGCTTGGAAAATCAGGCTGACAGTGGAAGGCCAGATTTTAACTCAGTGGTAATGTGCTTAACTAGCTCATGTGAGGTTCTGTGTTCAATTCTCTGCACCACCAAAAGGGGAGAAAGAACTTTTAAGATTAGAGTATAAGATTCAACGTTTTAACCATTTAAAGTGCTGTGGTCCAGGCTATTCAAGAAATTGAGCCGGGTGGTGGTGGCGCACACCTTTAATCCCAGCACTCAGGAGGCAGAGGCAGGCAGATCTCTGTGAGTTCCAGGCCAGCCTGGTCTACAGAGTGAGTTCCAGGACAGTCGGGACTGTTTCTCAGAGAAACCCTGTTTCAGGGGGGAAAATTGAGGCAGGGAGATTCATTCTTCAATAAATCTCATAGTATTTATATATAGTGCTGATCTCCTTGCTGGCTGTCTATGCTCTGGGCTTGCCTGGTTTGAGCGGCTCGTCTAGGTGAGAAGATGCTTGGAGCCTGGCAGCTCCTAGCAAGAGCAGGCATCTTGTCTGTCAGAGCCAGGTGGGAGATGACATGTTTACACAGAGTTGAGTATAATAACACTAGGGCTGGCCTTCCAATGCTTCCTCTTGGCCCAGGGACATGGTTCTGCCAGAAAGCTCCTTCCCAGACCCCATGAGACTGGCCTTCTGGCTGCAGGCAGAAAAACATTGCATAACTTGACTCATTCTTCTCCTCCAGTCTACCAGCTCAGCTCTCCAACCAAGCACCAGGGTTTCCTGGGACATTTGGTTTTAACTGTGGTAGGTGTTAATCTGGATGTGGCCAGAGTTAGCCTAGTTATATTGTGTCCACTCTTGGAGTTGAATTGTGACCCATTCACATTTATGGAGGTGGCTGATGTTTTGGTCTTGTTAAATCTGCCATTACGTTTCTTGTTCCTGTTTAACCACAGTTTCCAAATAATGTTTGCTTTTTCTCCCAGGACTATTGCTCTGTGTGTATGCATTTACTATGCATAAGTGTATGAATACATATGCATGCATGTATATGTGTGTGTGTACACATGTGTAAATGTACATACTTGCACTTTTTTTCTGATCCTGCTGAATATCATGATACCCTGTCACATGTTAAGCATGTGCTTGCTACTGAACTACAGTACAGTTCTGATGCTATATTAATGGAGTTTCCCCTTCCCTTAGAGATTTGGAAGGTATAGGGAACCAGAATCTTTATGGTGAGATGGGAGCTTGTCTCTAGTTGGTTAAATTTGAGGAAGTTAAACTGTCTCCCATTGTGGAATGAAAACTGAGGATAAAGAGACCAACTTGGCACAGGGAGCCTACTCCCCCGCCCCCTCCGTGCCTGATAGTGGATGCCTTCCAAGGCTGACAGCTTGAGGCTTACTGAGCACTGTACATGGGTCAGCCTCCTGCAGGTGCACTCACTCGTGGAAGGTCCCAGGCTGCAGCCTGTGCTGTGCTTTAGAGGCCTTTGGGAAAGCTTGTTTATGGAGGAGCAGTGATTTTATGGGGGTGGGGGTGTGCTTTTGACTGTGAGTGATGCTGGAGATAGGCTCCAGCCAGCTACTACTCCACAGAGGTGTGTGTCTGCCCGGCCTGTGTAGAGGGCGTGAGCCTCCGGTGTGTTTGTGTGTGAGTGCCCTGTGTGCATCTCCTGTAAACCCTTGTGGTGTGCCAGGTGTGTTGGAGGGACTTGATGAACAAGTTTTGCTGCTTTTGCTGCTGCAACTATAGACTGCAGCTGTCTGTCCCTGGGCTGGCTGACCCTGCCAAGAACTGCCTTAATGGGCGGTTGTGGTAGGGAGAGGCCAGCTCTCGCTGCAGAAACAGGACAGGGTTAGTTGCCCCCTGGCATCTCTGTGCTGGTCTCAGTCCACCCTTGCTGGTACTTACAACCCCAACAAGGTGATGTGTGTATTCCCTGGGGCTTGGCTTGAGCCTGTGCCATCTTCAAATACAAGCAGATTCTGGAGCCTCTCCCTTTGCCCTTCTCATCTGAAAGTGCAGTAGACCGCCCCCCCCCTCCCCTTCCCCAGTGCTGTTCTTGGGTCAGGGCAAAGTTAAGAGAGCCAGGAGGAAACTGGATTTGAGGAATGGAAAATAGACATGCAGACTCCTGAGTTCTTCCTGGCTAGCTTTGTGGTTTTGTTCCATCTTCCTTCCTCGAAAATGAGGAGCAGTAGCTGCATTCTGTCATGACCCTAGTGGCCTCTGAGAAGCTGACATTGTAGATGCCTTGAGCTACATGCAAGTGTAGACTGAGGCCCAGGCCCAAGCCAGCTTTGCTGGGTTCCCAGAAATCTGGCTTCTTTGCAAGAACTTGAACAAGGCTTGCAGTGACGGGGTTAGGCCCAGGGGGCAGGGTGGGTACCAGGGAGCCTCTGCCCGCCCCCATCACCTACAGTCCTGAAGACCAAATCACAGCAGATGGCCTCAGCCTTGAATCTTCCTGTCTGTTGAACACTTAACCTATGGCATGTCCACTGTCCTCATGAACTTAAACAGAGATGCCTGTGAGGCTGGGTCCCCAGTCAACCTCAGCCCTCAGCAGCAGGCCTCCATTGAAATGCCTGGCAGAAGTAAGCCATGCAAGGACCCTTCCTACCATTGCTATACCCAACCTGGCCTCTACTTCTATCAGGCCTGAGTCAGGCCAAAATTGGGTGTGGGAGCCCTTTCTAAATGCTGTGTCCAAGCAGCTCTGCCTTGACTGACTAGAGAGGAATGAGAATTACTCCCTCCTACAGGGTTCACAGTCTTCTTGGCTGCTGTCTGCTCCCCATCTTCTCACCTGTTCTGTCCCCTTCCCTTTTTTCTTCCCTGGGCCTCTTTTGATGGAAATACAGTTCCGGTCACCCTGGGGGGACTCCTCAGTGGCTGAACCCAGAACTACATACACCATGTCATAAAATCCCAGTGTTACACTCCCAATGCTTGGCTCTATCCTATGGTATATTCCCAGACAGGCTCTCTCCTGTCTGTGTGTAAAACCCTACATTGACCTCCTTTCCTCAGCCACCCTGGCCAGGGGTAAAGAACGAGCTTCTGTCCCTGAGTCAAATCTCACTAGCTTGGCATGGACCGGGTGGGATTGGCTGGTCACATGTATTCTGCTGGAGTCAACTCTGTAGATACCACCATGGAACATTTTGGCCTAAATGTAGGGGACAGGAGGCTGGGCCACTCTTACAAAGGAAGAGGTATGTCCTAGGTACCTAAAAACTTTGGGCTGCATAGCACATCCTGTTCTTCTGTCATGGGCTTTGGGAGAAAGCAGCTCTCTTTGCAGATGGCCAGTTCCAGTTACTCCTTGCAGAGCTCCACATGCTCACCATGCCCTCAGGCCTACACGCTCACCCATGTGCTTGTACGGGTATAAGCCTGGACTGACACACAGCCTCACACATTGATTCCTATAGCCAGAGATTCTGGGACCCTGGCAGAGCTAGGTTTTTCCGTCTAGACTCCCATGGGATCAGGGTCTCTGGTTCTGCTGGAGAAGCAGGAAGAGCTACTGTTATGGCTTGTCATCTTGCATACCCCACCCCCACCCCTAAAGGAAGCCAGAGAGGCAGGGCAGCCAGGGTAGGATCACTCTTTCAAGGGTTTGCCCACAGCTCTGTGGTTCCTCCCTCTGGAGAACAGACCTGGTCCAGCTGTCTGGCATGGTGGTGCTTCAGCATGTGTCCTCAGCCTTCCGGCTTATGTCCCACCCCTGGCTCCTGTGCCAAAGCTGCCCAGCTCCCACCCAGTCCTAGAGCAGGGGCAGAAGCCTCCTTGGGTCCATTCTCAGAGTTCAGGTAGAGCTTACAAGAGGATCCCACTGTGAGAGGTCTGGGGTCTCAACTCCTTTCCTGGAAAGTTAGAACAGGCTGGAGCCCATGCTCTGAGGAAGGGGGGGGGTGTTAGGGTACATTCTGGGCCTCTCAGATCCTCCAGCACCCTGGGAAGAGACCTCCTGCCTCCTGACCCAGCTGGGGTCCAGAGAGAAACTTTTCATTTAGTGGTTGTTCCCACCAGCTGAGGTGGAAGCCCTGTTCCTGTCTAGATGCTGCCAGTCTGTCCCCTATCACCCTAAAATGACTTCATCTCTGTTCCATTTTTAGGGTCCCCCACCCTCACAGCCCCATCACTTTCATTTACAAAGTAGGATGGCCTGCCCTGCAACCCAGTGGTGAATCTGGCAGGCTTTGTCTGTGACGTCTGCCACCTGACCTCTTGACCCTGTGTCTTCAGGGACACTAGTCTAGGAAAGGGTATTATGTCACAAGTCTCATTTCCTAGCAGTTAATCATGTGTCCTCATCATTTCCTACTTGCTAGAACTAGTGACCAGTCCCCTGTCCTAGGCAGAGTCACTCTGAGAGTCAGCTTTCCTTTTGGCATGGAACCTTGGTTGCAGCCCTCTGCTCCATTGCTAATCTAGTGCCTGCCAAGGCCAAGGTCACGGAGTATAACCTTGGAACTGGGGATGCATGGACAAGGGGAGTAGCTTGTGCAGTTTACCCCCAGAAATGGAAGAAATAGCACCCTACAGATCCAAAAAGGCAGGTGCCATGTGCCAGTGTTCAGATAAGGTGTAGTTAGAAACATGCATGTCCTGTGCTTCCGTGAAGGAAAGATAGAACCTGCTTCTCTCCTTAAGCTGAAGTTCTTGGCCTGAGGCCTGTGAGTGGCCCTACCTGGATTACTTAGGACTAATGATGTTGTTGCTTGTGCAAACCCTGAAGAAGCCCCTAAACCATGCTCTTGGGCCCAGGCTAATGTCCCCCATATACCCCAGGAATAGCCTGGTCTCTATGTCCAGTCTCTAGAACATCCAGGGACCTCTGTTCTCTTCTACAGTGTCAGCCCCATTTAGAGAGGTTACTCGAGTACATGTGTGTATGTGCATGCACGTATACACAAACACAACCTGCACACATACACACCACCCACCCACATACACCGCACATAACACACACACACACATACACTACACACATTAACACACACACCACACACATACCCCCACATACACCACACACACACACACACACAGCCTTTCCTGATGAAGGGGGAAGACCCAGACGTCTGCTTCTTGCCATACCTCCCCTAACTGGACATGTTGGAGATGTAGCCAAGCTTGAGCTTCCACATAAGCCAAGACATAGGGTCACCAGGCCTTCTCTGTACGTCCCGTTGGATCAGGATGCTGTGATACTAGATTTAAATTTAATTTTAAAATGCAAATGAATCGTGGTCTACCTGTCACCACAGGTGATCTAGTGATCAGTGTAGCCTCAGTCATTAACTGGATTGGTTCTAGAGCTCATCTTTAGCACACATGCTCTTGTCCTGCCCCTCCCCCCCCCAAGAGGACCCACATGAGGATCAGTTGTCAAGCTAGGCTGGGCTGAGCCTCCAGACCTTAGAGACTGAGCTGAATGCATGTTCCCCAGGGTAGCCACCAGCCAGGGCCTGTGATGTCAAAGGCAAGAAGAGATGAAGTAGCCCTGGCATCCTGGTGCTACTGAACAGGTGTGCTCCCCTGCAGGATGAGCCAGGGCCTCAGCAGTATGTCTTAGAGAGCCACAGTATCTCCCTCACCCTCCTTCCTCAGAGCTCCTGGGCTAGCCCAGCCCTCCCCAGTCCCTAGCAGCTGCCCAGGGCCTGGCTGGACCTTCTTCCTCAGAGTCCTCTGCCCACGGAAAATCTGCTGTCCCCTTCTGCAGGCTCTAAGGACAGGGCTCCATCTAAAGACTGCAGGGTAAGACTGCATCCTTGGTTATGACCTGAGGTGAGAGAGACCGTGCTGCTGGGTTAGAGAAAGTGGCTTCCTGGGAACTCCCTTCTCCCTTCTGCCCTTTGGTGTAAGTGACCCAGCCTGCCCCCTTGGCATTCGCTAGCAGGGGATTTCCTGAAGGATGAGGTTCCTGGGAAATGTCCGCCCATGTTCCCTTTTGTCTCATTTGACAAAAACTTGCAAATGAGTTCCACTTGACCCTGGGGACTTGAGTGATTCCTAAGATGAGAACTAACCGGAGCAGAACCAGAGGTACACCTGCCTGTTGTCTGCTGGGTGCCAGCCTTGGGACCCTCTCATCTGATTTGGGAGAGGGCAGGCATGAGACATGCCGCAATGAGTTTCTGGGAAGAGCCCTGCCACCAGACTCTGGGGAGAGACCCAGGAAGTGGAAGCAAAGGCCTTGCTGGCAATGTGACCCAGGGCTAGTACCGCCTTGGCTTGTCAGAATTGGGCCCAGGCACGCCCTGTTCTTCACCCTCTGCTTCTCTCTTCTGAGTCCTTGGCTGAGGTTTCCTGGATCTCTTTCCCTCTGTGGTTTCCCAGCCTGGATTCATGTTTGTGCATGAGAAGCTGGGCTCCTCAACTGGCTTGGGTTCTGCTGCTCCAAACAAGGTAAGAGGCCTGGATATTGCCGCCCCACCACCGTGGAAGACTGACTCCAAAACCATACTGACCCCACCCCCAGACATACACACACATGTAGACGCACACAAGCCAGACACACCAATGTACATGCACAAGCTGACATCTAGAAGGGGCCTCCCGTGGCTTGGGGAAAAGGCCACTTTGTGGTGCCAATGGTAGAGGAAAAGGCAGAGGGGTAATCTGGGGGGGCTGCTTCACCCGTGTCCTGTCCTCTGGCCATCACTTCCTGCTGAACTGTGTGGTGGCAGGCAGGACAGAAACAGGCTCGCTAAATTCAGAAACCGGTCATACTTTACATACATCCTACTCCTACTGGGATGACCCTTGCCCACCTTGGGTCCTGCAAGCAGTGGCATTTTAGAGGAAGCGTCCCCAGTTCTGCATGCTCCAGGCCCAGAACCCTTAGTCCCTGCTAATGCTTTGCTTCCCTACAGAGGAACCAAATGCTCTCCCTTTACCTGCCTGGTCTGGAGGAAATAAAAGGAGAAGGCTAGGCATGGCGCATGTCCACACTGAAACTTGGTGGTGTTTGTTGTTTCCCTCATCCCCACTCGGGGATTAAAGGCACGCACCACCATGCCACCCTTGTCTTGTTTCACAGGGACTGATGCTAGAACTCAGAACCTTACCTTTGCTAGACCAGGATTCTACCGCTGAGCAACATCCCAAGCCAAAAGCCCCACCCCCAAAAAAAAGCACTGGCAGGGACTCAGCATCTGAGCCCTAAGACCTCAAGTGAGTCAGAATCTAACTCGGGGACCCTCTCTGCAAGGGGAACACACAGCAGCACCCAGGCTGCAGTGCACTTGGATTTTTCCTTTGGTGAAATGGCTTCGAAAATTCGAACATCCTCTTCCTCCTTCCCACACCCAGACAATAAATAAATGAAAATAAAAAAAGTTTATCTGGGGTTTTCCTTGAAGACTGAATTATGGGAACCAGTGTGGAGCTGTGCTGTGAAATTGGAGCTGTGTGCTGCTTAGCTTTTCTCCAGTGAGCCCCCACGGCACAGGGAAAATACCCTGGCAGCCCTTCCTCCTATAGTCTTCCTCCAGGGCGTTCCAGGGAGCCTACGGCCTGCCCACCAAGCCTCCACCTAGGAAAGATAAATCCTGCAACCCAGATGGTGCAAAGATCTTCACAACTGAGCTTGGGCCGGCCGATCTTCAGGTGGGGTGGGGTGCTAGAGAAAGGCATTTACAAGAGAAAGAAAGGCTTAGAGGTGAGGAGTCTCTGCATCCCGCTGCCCTCCTACCTACACTGTAGCCATCCCTTTACACCCTAGAGGGCGGTTCCCAGCCGCCCTTCCCAGCCGTGCCCAGACAACGCTGCTCCCCAGCTCCTTTGGGGGGGCTTCTCTTGGCATCCTCTGCCACCTCACAGGGTGGCAGAGCTTTGCCCTGTCAGAAAGGGGCCTCAGCTTCTTTCTGAGGTCATGTTCCTCTCTTGCCCCAAACCCCGTTAGGATCAATTAAAGCAGGCAGTGTCCTGTTAGAAAATCTCCAACAAATTTAGGAATATTCTGACTCTATCAGTAAAGTATACATATTATACAGATTTTTTTTAAAGACAAGGTTTCAGGTAGTACAAGCTATCCTTGAACTCACTGTGTAGCTAAGGATAATTTTGAATTTCTGATCCTTCTACCTCTAAGGAATGCTGGAATTGCAGGCATGTGACACCAGGCCCAATTTTATGGTACTAGGAATTGAACCTGAGGCCTCCTGCATGCTAGGCAAGCACTATGTTAAATGAGCTAGATCCCCAGTCCCCAGAAATAGTCCTTTTATTTTTCAAAAAAGATTTTTATAACATTTTATTTTTATTTATTTATTTATTTTTGGTTTTTCGAGACAGGGTTTCTCTGTATTGTTTTGGAGGCTGTCCTGGAATCGGCTCTGTAGACCAGGCTGGCCTCGAACTCACAGAGATCCGCCTGCCTCTGCCTCCCGAGTGCTGGGATTAAAGGCGTGCGCCACCAACACCCGACTCACATTTTTTATTTTTTAAATTAAAATATGATAACATCACTTTCTCCCTTTTCCCTTTCTCTCTCCCGTTTCTTATATACTACCCACCACCTTGCTTCCTGTCAACCTCACAATCTCTTTTTCTTTGTTATTACACGTATGTTTCTATTTATTTGTTGAGACAGGGTCACACTGTAGCCCTGAATAGCCTAAAACTCACTATGCCAGGCTGGCCTCAAACTCACAGAAATCCATCTGCCTCTGTCTGTTATTAAATGCATATACCATTACATTCCTCAGGTTTTCATTACTTTTGATTGTGTATATTTGTGTATCTGGGGATATGTGCATATACACACAGTATGCGTGCTCAAGGAAGTCAGAGACCTTGGAATCCCCTGGAGCTAGAGTTACAGGTGGTTGTGAGCCTGGGCTGTTGTGTTGGCAGCAGCCATCTCTCCAGTCACCCCACCCCCACCTCTGCACCACATATATAAGGGGAAGAAAGAGGATGTGGGCCGAGGATACAGCTCAGGGGAAGAGTATATACTTCACTTGCTTACTTCTGAGTTTAGTCTCTCGCACGCACACGCACACCAACCACACAGTATGGAGGACAGCAAAAAGAATATGAGAGAGAGACACATCTTACAGTCTTTTGTTCCAGAAAGACTGTGTGTACTGGTGTGTTCAACCCACACCAGATACCGCTCCCTTCTGTCACCAGCATTCCCCAGGAGCCTCTAATCAGCACCCCACAACCCAACTCTCCTCAGTCTCTCTTCAGCCAGCCCTGTCCCCAAGCCATGCCCTCTCCCTTACTCCCACTCAAGCCCAGCTAACTACGTGGCTGGCCAGCCCCGCCTCCTCCCGATGTCCCACCTGTCTCCTGCATCAGCCCCAGGATCTGTCTGGTGTTGTAATCTGCTGCCTCTACCCCCTTAGGGCCATTTTCGCTTCAAATCCTCCTGTCCTTTGGAGGCCTACTCTGGTTTAGTCACTTCCTCCCTGCAGCCCCCACCACACTGTCCAGAAGCAGAAGAGACTCTTTCCCTGAGAAGCTGAGATTTGGTATTTGTTAAGCAAATCATCCATTGCCTCCCAAAGCTGCTGGCTCTGAGCAGAGCCGCTCCTAGTCAAGTAGAGATGCACAGGACTGAGCCTATAGAACAGAGGGGTCTGCCGAGTTCTGGGATGCCAGCAGTAGTCAGCCCAGGGAGCAGAATTATAACAGCAAGAGAGCCATCCACAGAGGGCCCTTGGGCTGGCTGAGAGCCCTCCTGGCCATCCCTGGGGCTTTCCTCTTCCATCCTTTTTCTTCTCCAAGGTTATAGATCTGCCAGATATCTCTCAGGTGTGCAGCCATTCTCCTTACTTTAGATGGAAAAAGATCCAAGGGATGGACTGAAAGACCTCTGTGTAGAGGTTGGTGTGCTAAGAGCGGGTTCCTGGTGTCAGTAACCATCTATCAGGAACTATATAGTTCATTTTCTTTGCATAGCAGGCAGACATGTCCTAAATGAATACCTTCAGTAGAGAGTTCAAGGGTGTCACATGACTGTCCCTTCTCTCACCCAATAGAACTGGCCTTTGCCGTAATTATCTTGTTTTTCTTTTTTGTCTCTTTTTTGTGTTCATTGTTGTTGTATATTTTCTTTTGTTTTTCAGACAGGGTCTTCCTGTGTAGCCTTGGCTGGCCTTGAACTTGTGGTCTATCTGCTTTAGCTTCCAAGTTAGGGATTACAGGTATGCTCCATCATACCTGACCTTTGTTCTGGTTTTTATCTCTGAAGTGGTGGCAGGAGGGGAGGTGGACTTCATGGGGAATGTATGGAGACGTTTACCCCATACTGTTTCCACTGGCCTCCCTTCCTTCACCAGCTTCCTGTCTGTTGTCAGGACTGATGTCAAACAGTGCTCTGTTGGGTTTGTACATTGCTTATCCATTGTGGGGCACATCTCCAAGGTGGGGGCTTAGAGGTCGCCCAGGGGACAGTTTCACCTCAGTCACTGACCACAGGTGTAGGTGACTCAACAAACAGCTGTGCAGAGGTCGTAGTACACAGACCCTCTGGGCTTTCATTTCCGGAGGCTTGGGGTGGCATGGCTTTCTAGGTGGCAGGCATTTGGGGGGTGGTTGTTAGTTAGAAGGAATGTGGGCACAGCCTACTGGGACCGTGACGGCTCTAAGACAATGGCGCCAAGTTCTGTTCATGCTGGCCCTCCTTGAAGATGCTTTCCGGAAGCTGCTGCTGTGTGCCGAGAGCAAGGATCGTTCTCAGGCTCTGATGAGTTAAGAAAGTGCCCTTGTTATGTTCTCTTTCTAGGTCTGCTATCTGTGCCACAGCCTCTTGAGCCTGGCTGGGGTGGTGGTCAGTAGCCAGGATATCACTCCAGATCAGTGGGTGAGTCTCCCAAGAGTCTGGAACAGGGAAGGGCTGGGTACCCAGTAGTATCTACTGCATTAAGCAATGTGGGACCACAACAGCCAGGACGGAACCGGCCTTTCATCAGAAACTGCAGAGTGAGAGATCAAGAAAAAAGTGGTGAGGGTGGCCAGGGCCTCTTCCTCCCACCATGTCTCAGAAGCCATTCCCAAGGGATGCTGACCTGCCCCCTAGAAGCTGCCCTTCCCCTCTGCTCCTTTTCCTGCCCAGCTTGCCAGCAGTCACTCACTCCCCTGGTGCCTTAGTTCTCCTAAATCTTGCCCTGGCCTCCAGAACACGCCTGGCTTATGTCCCGCCTCCTCCTCCTCCTCTGCAGGGTGAGCTGCAGCTGTTGTGCATGCAGTTGGACCGCAACATCAGCACCCATATCCGGGAGAGCCCCCAGGCCATGCACCGGACCAAACTCAAGGACCTAGCCACCCAGACCTACATCCGCTGGCAGGACCTGCTGGCTCACTGTCAGCCCCAGGTGGTGTCCCATAATCCCCTAGACCTGGGAGGGAAGGGAAGTGGTCAGTCCGTGGGGCTTGGCAGATCCAGCAGTCCATCCACCCCCACTGCAGCTGCTGGACTCCAAAGGGAGAGGGTGGAGTGGGCAGTGCGGTGAAGGGAGGGGATGTCTCAGGGGACCTTCATTCTTAATCCAGGACCCAGGGAGAGGATGCAAGAGGGAACATAGGGAGGCCTGTTTGTGAACAAATGCAAAGAGAAACTCAGCCTTGGAGAGCTGAGCAACACCAGTGTGTCAGGAACCGCCAGGAAGGGACACCAGAGGCAACAGCTGTCCGCATCCTGTCCGCTTGTCCTGTAGACCTCAGCTGGCTTCTTGCTTTGTTAAGAGCATTTCCCAGCCACAGCACCCACTCTCATTTCTATATGAGCAAACTCTGTTCTTGGAATTGTCTCATCTAGGCAGTAACATCTTAGGTACAGAGTGAAGATCCTTTTCTATGGGAGCCTGAAGAACCCTCAGGAGGTAGAGATTATTAGAAGTCCGTTTCACAGATGAGCAAACTAGAGGCTCCAGAGGGTCAATAACTTGCCCCATCAAGCAAGCAACTTGAGTGAATGCAAAACTCAGGGCTCACAGCCAGCATCACTTCTTGGCACAAAGCAGTCCCCATCTGCACTCTCCCACCCCCACCCCATTTCTCCAATAAGCGTGCCCTGCTGGGCTGGCCCTGAGCCCCCAAGTCCTTAATGGAGACAGCTGGACTCCCTGTTCCCAGCTTGCCTCTCCCTGACTCCTCCCTTACAACCCCCTCTAACCCTTGACTTGAGGCTGACACACTGGCCACAGGCTGTTGTACTTGGTGCTCAGATTTCACAAGTCCCTGAGAAACAGAAAGCTGGAACATGGACCTTCCCCTGATCCACTGGTCTCTGGTAGAAAGCATTGTTTATCATAAAGAGGAAGCAAAGTGATTGAAGCCTGGCTGAGTGTGCACGGATACCATCTTCCTCCCATATTCCTTGGGCCAGTAGTAGTAGGAGACAACACCCTGACTGAGCCTTCTAGGCACTTAGGTCAAGTAGCCTGTTGACCTACTGTATCTGGTCTCTGAGCCTTGAGAGTCTTACTTAGTGTCACAACACCTGGTATGAAAGAGGCATCTCTGGTAGATGTTGAATGGACACCACCAACACGGGGACCTGTGGATAGAGGGCAGTACTGGGGCTAGGCCATTACAGACCGCTTTTCTCTTCTTCACAGGGCCAGTACTTCAGTCCTTGGAAAGACATTTAAAGCGGTCAGGGCAAAGTGGCCCAGGGTTCTGGACTCCAGCAGAAAGAGAACTGTAGGAGGTGAATGGAGGCTGAAGCCTAGTGCAGCTAGACTGCTGTCACTGGGGTCCTTGTCTCTGACCATCCACATCCTTGAACTCTCCTGACTGCTCAGCTATCTCTGGGGTCTTGTCTCTACAGCTCTGGCTTCCCAGGTCCTCCTGGGCCCTCCTTGTTGGTCACTGTTCCCCGCCCCCACACCTTGCTCTCTGACCATTGTTAATATGGGGTTCCTTTATGCACATTAAAGTCTTACTTTGGGCATCAGTGGTTTCCTTCCTTAATCCCTATCCTGAGGGCTCATGGTTAGCACCTAGCCTGGTGCCTTACCTCTGCTTGAGCCAGCCATTGCTGCTCTCACTTCAGTCATGTGACTGCAGCCTAGGACCCACCTCCTGCCCTTGACCAGAGTCGCTGGAGCCTGGGCACTCGGATGACGAACATTTGTCCAGATCCTGTCTGGGACTACCCCGCCCCTTGGAGGGATGCTATAGAGAGGATGGTGGATCAGGGCTATAATTATGCTTAATTCAATTTATTGTTGAACTCTGAAGTTGACTCCTTAGACTTAGAAGTGGGGGTGGGTCCAAAAGACAGTTCTAGATCCTTCTGTTCCTTTCCCTGTCCTTGCCCCCAGGTCAGTCTCATTGGGTCCTAACCTCTAATTGTATAACTGGGTGTCTTTGACCTGTACCCTGGAGAAGTTGTACCTCCAGGAGCAACCCCCAGCCCCTATTTATTTTCTTATCCGTCTACTCCTCCGACAGAATCCATGCTCATCCCTGGTCCCTTCAGACACTTTCAGGGTTAGAGTGAGCTTTGCAGTAGGTATAAGGAGGAGCCAGGAGGTGGCAGAGGATAACTCCTGCCAACTTGACTTGTGTCCACGTCTCAGCTGGTGATGGCCCTTGGAACTTCCCCATGGATGCTGCATACCATTTTCTCTGTTTATATGTTCCAGGATTAGGGACCGACTAGGAGACAGAAACACAAAAAAAAGAACATACCTGAAGTCGAAACCCCATACCTTCCTAGGTCTGTTTCTGACACAGGTACCTCCCTCTCTGGGTCCTCAGAAGGCCAGGAGCTAGAGGCATCTATTATTTAGAAACAAGGCATAGGCTCCGCACAGTACTGGGTACCACAGAGGACATTGTTTCTGTCTCAAAGCCTTTGCCAAATGAGAAGTGGAAGAAACCTTTCCAGAGCCAGGTGACTCGGATGCCCAGGGACTTGACTGATAGTTGTGGCTGCTCTTCCTGGCTGTATCACATGCCCCTTTGGCATACCCTCACCCCAGCAGCAGCCACCAGGGCAGCCTCAGGTCTCTGCCCTGAGAGAACCAGCCCTTTTCACCCTGCCTTCGGGACCCCTGTTTGACATTGTACATCCTGACGTTCATCCTCACTAACTGAGTTTGCTCTGGAAACCTGGAAATCACCTTGAAATTTCCCTCTCTTGTTCTCATTGCCAAGGGCAGAGAGGGGGGTGGGAAGGCCTGAGAGGCTGAGCTGGGGAGTTTCCAGTTCTTGAAGCTGCCCTTACCTGGCTTTAAGAAAAGGGATTAAGGTGTGTACCAGTGTAGACATCTGGAGTCCTCCCCGGCTCCTTACTCCCCAAACATGCTCATCCCTGAGAGAGAAATAGATACAGGGGAGAAGAGGTGTTGGTGACATCTCAGTCCCATCCAGAAGCCTGGCTGCAACCTGAGCAGAGGTATGCAATGTGAGGTCACTCAAGGGTGGACACTGTCCCCTGGGTCACGTAATTGTCCTGTTCTGAGACCAACTGGGAGCTGACCAGCCCTAAAACTGGGTTGGGATCAATTAGAAACGGAGCCACTTCGAGGCCAAGAATTCTGGAATGAAGCTGACTGTTTTACCATTTGCCCTCCAGGTTTCTGACCCTAAGCTCCTGGGAAAAGGCAGGGGATATCCTGATAGAAGTCACTGAAAAAGCAGTATCCTGGGCTATGATGACAGATGTTTTCCTGCTTCCTCTTGGTGATGCTGGAAGGAAGGGCTGGGAAGGGAAAAGCTTCCTACGTGGAAAGCTTCGATAACTCTCCCTTTGGAAGCAGGTAGACCGAGGAAGTCCTTTTCCTATCCCAGTTCCCGGGGTCACAGTGGTCAGAGCACCCCTTGGAACAGGGCTGACCCTGGTCTTTTCACTTTCCCACCTGTGGGGAGGCAACAACTGACTGTAGGCCTTTCTTTCACCAGTTAGCTCGGGGAGGGTCGCTGCTAAGAAGCAGGGTGCCATGATCAATATTGGGGTTCTATAAGGATGGACTTTAACTCAGTGGGTCCTGGGGGCATTTAACATGTCTTCTCCAGTTTCCTTTACTTGGGCACAGCATTAAGCTCTAGCCAAAGGGGAACAGATGGGGGGTCTGGTCTGTCAGGCTCCAATAGGAATAGGGTGTGATGCATTCCATAGGCTATGCTAGGCAGCCTAGGGAGATTATACAGATATACATCCTTTTCTTTTTTTTTAGCATTGCTAATTTTTTTTCTTGATGGGAGGTCCAGGATCCTTATTTTTCTGCCAGCTGTCCTTTTATTAACAAGCATGAACCATGAACATACGCGAAGACACTTTGTCTTTTGCCCACCTGCCTGTGGGGTAGTAATACAGTGTGGCAGGGAATGCGCAGAGGTGGCCCGTGGACGGGAGGTGGTGGAACCCTATTGGTGAGAAGCCTGGTGGGGAGGGGTTCACGGGCTCTGTTACTGGAGCAGTCTTATTTCCCCCTCCATCCCTGGCTTAGAAGACCCTAGTGCCTGCCATGAAGGTACAGAATACTGTCCCTGCCAGTGAAACCAAAACCTTTTGAAACTTTCCACTGGGGCCACCATGGAGGTAGAGCCAGGGAGCTCAGATCACTACTGAGTAGTCCTTATTCCTGGGGGCAAGACTTACAGGTGAGAGAGAAAAGGAAAGGGAGCTTTAGCTATGTGCATGGTGACAGATAGAGAGATAGACAGATAGATAGACAGACAGACAGACAGACAGATAGATAGGTAGGTAGGTAGGTAGATATGGCATCACAACTCAACTGACATTTTTTTAGAGTTTCTCTGTGGCTTTGGAGGCTGTCCTGGAACTAGCTTTTGTAGACCAGGCTACCAGGCTGGTCTCAAACTCACAGAGATCCACCTGCCTCTGCCTCTCCAGTGCTGGGATTAAAGGCATGCGCCACCAATGCCCGGCTTGCCCATGGGTTTTTACCTTTATTTTATTCTATATATCCAACTCCCTCCATGTCTCCTGTGCCTTGATTATCTTCTTCTACTTCCTTTCTCTGTGCTTGGAAGTCCCACCTATACTCCTTCCTAGCTATTGGCCGGTCAGCTTTTGTTTTGTTTTGTTTTTTTTTGAGACAGGGCTTCTCTGTATTGTTTTGGAGGCTGTCCTGGTACTCACTTTGGCCTCCGAACTCACAGAGATCCACCTGCCTCTGCCTCTCCAGTGCTGGGATTAAGGGCGTGTGCCACCAACGCCCTGCAAAGGAGATACAAGTGTCTTTTTTCCATTTTTCAACTTTTTTTAAGATTTATTTATTTATTATGTGTACAGTGTCTGTCTGTATGCCCGTAGGCCAGAAGAGGGTGCCAGATCTCATTACAGATGGTTGTGAGGGACCATGTGGTTGCTGGGAATTGAACTCAGGTCCTCTGGAAGAACAGCCAATGCTCTTAACCTCTGAGCCATCTCTCCAGCTTTTTTTTTTTTTTGAGACAGTCTCATTAGGGTGTCCAGAATGGGTATGAACTCAAGGGCTCACAACTTTCCTGTCTCAGCCTTTCCAAGCAGCTGGGACATAGATTCACTCCAAGACCTCACTCAAAAAAATTTACCTTGCTGTTTATGTGAATGTGAGCCACTTTTAGATCTTGCTTAATCTTTCTGATAAAATGAGAGAGACAGTCATTGGCTGGCTTGGAAGTCCTGCTTCAGTCTCTCAGGGCCGAGGATACTCAGTTTTTACAGTGTTCTGAGCACGACATGAGGAAATTTGGCAGCACAGAACAACAGAACAAATGCCTGGACAGGCTGTGCAGCAGCTTACCCTTATTGAGATGGAAACCAAGTGTGAGAAAGAGGCAGGTCCTGCATGTCTGTCTTCCTCGATGGCCAGCTCCAGCAGGAACTGCCCACCCCTGGCAGTACCCGACTTGCCTCTTCTCTCCAGCATCTCCAAGGCTGCAGCGTTGCTTCCTAATGGAAAGGAGCTGGGAAACGTGGTTCTGGCCAGTGAGGGAGAAGGGCCCTTTTGTGTCCTAGCAAAGACCCAATTGTTACAGAAACCAAACTGGGCTGCCTTTCTCAGTGATCCGCACTGCTCTGCTGGTCTCTACTTTTCAGATGCCAAGTTTTAACCCAGAACAAAAGCCGCTGTCGTACTGATTTATACTCCAGATCTGCTGATGGGGTCTGACGTGTTTCTCCCCTATAGAACAGCACCTGGGGCTTAAAGTTACCACAGAAATCTCCAGACCTTTACCTCCCTTTATCCCTGTCCTTTGACTCTGGGTAGGGAGCAGCTTCCCCCCCGAGGGTCCTTGAGCCCTGCTGCCTAGCTTGAGGGCCACCTGGCTGGAAGGAGGACTGGCCATCCAGCAGGGCCCAGGAGGCCACAGCTACAGGTTATCTAGGAGCGGCTGGGGGCGGAAGCTGGCAGTTGTGAAGGTGGTAGTGTTGTCAGCGCAGCTCCCCTCAGCCCCTTTCATCAACCTTCCGAGTGGCACCAGGAGTCATTTCCTGGTGGTAGGCTCTGCTGGAGCCTGGAAGAAAGGAGTTGCCTGGAGACTTGGGGGTCTTCTCTGCCTGTTAGCTGCTCCCTCCAGCCCAAGGGTTAGGGCCAGAAAGGAGGACGACTTTGGAGCCAAAAGACTGACCATTGTGGTTAACCCCTGAGAGAGCCGTCAGTTTCCTCCGTTTCTTCCCTCCCTTCGGATGTGCATCCCAAAATGGCTCGCCAGCTTTCGTTCCTGTAACTGGAGCGTAGGGGAGCCCCTCAGCCCTCCTTGAGCCCAGCCCGCCGCAGGGCTTTGACGGCACACTTCGGGAAGACCAGGTGAGTGCGGTTCCCGGTGGCAACGCCTGGAGTCCCTCCCCGCACCCCTCCCTCCAGGCGCCGTGGCGTAGACCTTGACTCCCCGGCGGCTAGAGTCGCAAAGGGTCCCCAAGCCTCAGCACTGGGCAAGCAAGGCAGCGGGTCGCAGCCCCCTTCTTGGGCGGGCCTTAGCGTCCCGCCCCCG